GATCCTGCTCACTCAAAAACATTGACACATCCTGGTCCTCGGCCTCATACTTCTTGCTGTACTTTTTCAAGTTCTTTGCAATCTCCTCCTCTTTCTCAGGAGTCAGGAATGATGGTGGCCTTGGGCGCCATAAGAACTATAACAAATAAGAAGAAAACAAGTGTCCCGCAAATGATTAGAACATCTACCTCCTTTTCTTTTCTTTTTGTTTGGGCTAAGCAGTTAAAACATGCAATTGAGACAGGGAAAGAATACATAACCAAAACAAATGCCTACTAATATCAATTACAAAACAGAAATTTTAAAAAAACTAGTCACCACAGGATGACATCTATTTCAATTGGAATTTATCTTTTGTCACAAAGGACACTACGATGCACGTGGTACTTCCAAACTATCAACAAACTTCATCAAATACATACATATACACACACACACACATATATATATAGTCACCTTCCATTGAGGGATCCCTCAAATAATTTTGTTTTTGTTGATGTAAGGATCTTGATTTAAAGTTTTTTAAACACCAAGTGAAATGTCCAAAACAAAGAGCCTGCAGATAAAATTTAGTGCATACTCTCAAATGGCATTACCTGAAAAAAATGATCCTTTAGTATCCTATAAAGTAGCTTGCCGTTGAAGGACCATATGTTGAAACCATTCTCCATCTCATGAACTGAAGTCACTGCAGTAGCAACATATCTGAAAGCAAAAGCTAACATGTCAAAATCAAGACAAGTAAAATTCTTTGGTAAATAGTAACATATCCAAAATTTTACCTTCCAGTAGGATCCCATTCAATATCAGTTGCCATAAAATGCTCGGCAGTAGCCATGGTTTCAAGCTCATCCACATTGTAAAACTCCAGCTGCCCATTGAAACCTTTCAATCCTGCGAGTATTATAAAGCGCCCTGAAGGTGACCAGAAAAGAGCATTTGCTTGCTTCCCTTTCAGAGTAGTGAGCTTTGAAACACGGCCTGTATTGTGACCACTACGCATGGAGTAGAAACTTACATCGGGCCTTGGGTTGTTATTTGAGCTTGTATTATCACAATGAATAACTGCAAACCTATGGCCCTTGGGCTCCCAAGCAAATGCAATGATCTTGTCATTCTTATTCTCAAGCTCCAAAACCTCGATGGGGATGTCTCGCTCTTTGATTCGGAAAAGCTCAAAGCCTGTGTATGTGCTTTTCTTTGTTTTTGTATACCGGTCAACTTTAACAGCAAGATACTCCCCATTGCTTTGCCAGTACATTTTGCAATCACTGACACTGAAAAGATTCTTTTGCCTCAACTCCTCTTTATTAGGGATTTGAACAAGACTCACCTATTTGTATCAATGTGAAGCATTAGTTCACATAGTACAGTGAAATAATAAAAGGACACAAATAAAATACCAAATCTAGGAAAACAGCCAATCAAATGAAACAAGAATGCACACCCTAGCAGGTTGGTTGCCACCACCCAATTCTGGAACAAATAGAGCAAGAATCGGATCAGTTGGTGACCAGCTGAAGTCCATAACATTCTCAACCTTCATGGACTTTTTGTCTACAAGTGAAAATGTCTCTGTTTCATAAACAGAGATAACATTTTTGCCCATTCTGGCAAAATACTTATCATCTTTTCCGCCAGCCCATCTGAAAATATTATAAATGAAAAAGTTAAGCATGCCAAGTTACACTGAAAACACTCAAAATCACACCGTAGATTAGTGGCATAGAAAAATTACTTGAACACCGGCCAAGACACCCCAGCAACACCTCCAGTTCCTCCAATTGCAAAATCATCAGGAGTTCCTTTAAAATCTCTCATTACTTTTCCAGTTCTCACATCAAAAATGTTTATCACGACCCTCTATAAAATAACTTGACATTAGTAATGGAAGCAAGGCAAAAATAAATCACAAAAAGCAATAAATCACACTATCCAAAGAACTCACATTTGCATCACGAGGATTGCTTGGTTCATGGCTGCTGTAGGTCACCAAATATTTCTCACCAGGTGAGAAATCAATCAGTCTAACCTGCAGTTGACAGTTAGAGTTTAGGACCAAGAAAGAAAAATTACAACATACTAATTAAATTGGAAACCAAAAACCAAAAATAACCTGGGGATGAGCATAACGCATCAGACGATTAAAGGTAGAGGCACCTCCCCAAACAGCAGCACCCTGTCTGTGAATAGTTGCCAAATAAGTCCCTAGAGGGGACCATTGCACAAAGCTTTCCGTCCAGAACTGTAACAGGAAACAGAGATGATCATTTACCCTAAACCCTAAATAATTATATAAGACAAAAGGTGACTGTTTGGAGGAAAAAATATATAATTTGAGATATGATATCCACTCACAGCACGCTTGTAAACAGGCTCAGGCTTCAAGTGCCGTGCATCATTCCACAAAACTTCAGTATCTGAACCAGCACGAATCACAAGCTGATCTCGGGCCTTTTCATCAGTAAGCCATTGTTGAAGATTCTCCTGTAAAGATGTCCAAGTAAATAGCACAATAAATACCAGAGCCTAAAGATACCTAATTCACGATGTACAAAGAAGTGATGGATCAGAGTATAATTACCCCTGGCTTGTACGGATTACTTTCTGGAGGGGCCCATTGATCTGGAACTTTCATGAACCTATCAAAGTCGTCAAACATGCTGACAGCAAAAATATGTGATCTGTCCAATTTGTATCCATGAGTCTTCTCCTTGGCAAGCTCAGCTTCCTAAAATTACATTAACACATGGTCATATCTCAATTCAATTGTTCACGTATTTAAACATAGTTTTGTACCCAAGTGATGGTTAATGATTACACTTATGTATCAACTGGTGAAAATTCATTCGGAGCACAAAAGAACACATAAATTATTAATTTTTAAGAGACAAAGATACCTGAGGAGTATTATACTCGATGAAGCAATAGCCCAACGTTTTTTGTGTTTCGGGATCAAGTGGCATCCAAAACCCATCGTCCTTGATAAGACCAATCTGACTGTAAATTTTACGAATGACATTTTCAAGCTTCTCGTACTTTTCTTTAGGAACCACCGGGAGGTTATCAACAACAATTATGTTGCCAAACCCTGAGTCCAGCTCCGAATTTTCCTCTTGGTATATATCCTCATCATCGCTACGCAACCACAAAGTAATTAATTAATTAATTAAAAATCGTCTAAAGCATGCTACATAGACAACACAGAGAAATTTGAATTCCATACAGCCAAATCTTGCTATAAAAAAATTTATGCGGCAGGGATAGGGTTTTAGGTTTGAGCCAGGGTTACCTTATAATGCCAAAATTTTCACCAGGAGGGAGACGAATGGAATCGAGGTCCAGCTGCGAGAGGTCGATTCCGATTCGGGCCGCTGTCGCCTCTATGTCGTTCAACACCATGACGTCCCCCATGTTTTGCCTTCTCCTTGTTTAGAGAGAAGCGTCACAGAGAAGCCAGAGATTAAGAGGGCGCAGTAGTGAGACGAAGGAGAAAGAGTGGGTGTGTTGAGGATGAGTCTGTTTGGACCCCGTTATTTGCTTACCCTACTCGCCTTGGTCAGTTTCTCCTTATTGCAAAAGAACCAAACTAAACAAGAAAAACACTACTCCTACTCCTCCTCCTACTCCATAACATATTAACGACTACCTGGGCCTAGAACTCGTGTGCAACCCAAGCACAATCTCGGCCCAATAAAAGCCAACCTTATTAGCCATGCCGTAATTTGTTGAAAATTGAATTTTTGTACAAAGGATAGTTTACTCTAATTATGGTGTGTTTACTAATCATGAATTAAAATTCTTATTATGAATTGAATTTCATTTATGGGGAATTCGGGTTTACTTCGCATCAAGAAATTAAAAAGTAAATACACAAAATTAGGAATTGAATTCCTAATTTTAAAGGAATTCAATTCTTAGGTAGGAGGTGGTATTCTAATTCCTAGAGAACTAACCCATTAGAAATTCATCTTTTTTACCCATTATATCCTCACACAATTTTAAAATTTTAAAATTTGTTATCTACTTTAACATAACAATGAGGACATCTTAGTAATTAGAGCCACTCCTACTCCAATTCCATATGATTTAATAAACAACTTCAATCCAACTCTTCCTCAATTTAATTCCTCTTAATCCAATTACGGATTAATAAACATGCTATTAATCTAATTTAGGTGGAAAGGAATTCGAACTTGGGTGTAAGGAATTGAATTCACTGAAGTGACCAACTAACCTAACCCTCGTATATTGTTTGCAAAATAGTTTTAAATTCATCTACCATGACTTGTTATTGTAATTTTTAAATTAAATCAACAACCTATAACATCTTTCCATTGTTGGCGAACCATTGCATTTCTATCATTTATAGCATGGAATTGTATAATATAAATAGTTATGAACATATGTAAATATTTTCTTACTTGTGCTAATTAAGAAAAATTTATTCATGGCATGTTACCAGTATAACATATGCGCAGTCATAATTATTACTATTCATTTTTAAAATATACTTTTCCATAAGTCTACATGTAAATTACTGATTTATAAAAAAGATGAATTTAAATTTGAGTGGAAAAGACGAATAGATTTTTTTAATCAACTAACTTACATGTACTTAAAATATGTGACACATTAAACTTAACCGCAATACACATGTTACATATATATAATTTTGTTTAAAATAGCAAGTATTATATGGAATGCTCAATAACAAGATTTGCCTGCCTAGTCAGAGGCGGAGGTGCAGGTGGTGTTGTTGTATGCAGCCACGTTGAGAGTTGATCAATTATTATCATCAGCCGCCGCACCTGCATGCTGCATGCAATAGGGAAAAGCAAAAGCAGTAGCAGTAGCAGATGAGATAAATAGCACTCGCCTGGTCGTTTGTCCTTTAGCCTGCAACTGTCAATGCCCTTCTCGACGCGTGTCAATCTGTCGTCTGCTCTAAACTAAACCCCTTTATCTTCTTGTATGGGTCCTTTTTCTTAGGGTTTTATGACTCGAGAGTACTCTGAGTCTGAGAGAGCTGTTTATAAAACTCCATAAACACGCATGATGCATTGCAGATGAGGAGTGGCTTCCTTCGAGTACAAAACCATAGCTGATACAGATCAAGTCAAGCTAATTCCTGCTCCAACGGTTGTATTTCAGCTTGAGATCAAGTCAAGCTAAGTAGCAGCTACATATACATAGAATAGAACCCCAAATTCATGTAAGTTTACGCTTTAAGATTATTTATTTGCTTCATTTCTAGAACTAATATTTATGGGGAAGAATCAAATTCAAGATTTAATGGTTAATGGTTAATTCATTTCGACATTCTGATCCATTGGCCGCCTTAATTCCGACTTTTCTTTCATTTTTCTTTGATTTGATCACTAAAAATTTGAAAAGAAAAATCATGAGTAATTGTAACTATCATGTTTGCTTCAAATTTTATTTGTCATTACTTGGGTTAGTGTTATTTGGCGAGCTTGCGTGCTAGATGATGATGCCCTTCAATAGTTGGAGACTTTTTTTTGTGTTGAATTTTATTTTTTCTGTTCGATCAATTTCCAAGCAATTCAAATGAAACAATTTATCTTCATATATACGTTTGGAATCCGAAATACCAAATAACTTGCAAATTTATTTCGTTGCTATATATAGACAGAGGATGGGAGACCCGAGTGAGGAGGCGGCGGAGATTGAAGACAACTGGGCAGAAGCTAACAGTGGCAGGATGAGTTGGATCATGAACAAGGGATTGGGACTTGGAAAAAAAATTATGGTCACTGCTATTGTAATTTCTTCTGCACCATTGGTTCTTCCACCGCTTATGGTTATTTCAGCAATTGGCTTTGCCTTTTGTGTTCCATGTGCCGTTGTCTTGGCAAGTTATGCTTGCACTAAGAAGCTCATGAGTAAGTTGCTTCCTTATAGTACACCTCCTCTTTTGTTGGAAAATGGCACATTAATGTCAAATGATGATGAAGAAGAAGAAGAGCAGGGTGAGGAACAGGGAGGAAAGATTGATACCAAAAAGGAGGAAGGATGGGATAGTGGGGATATACTAGGAGGAGGCAAGTTGAGAATCGAATTAGTAGAGGAGGAAAATGAGGAATTTTTTGAGGAAGGGAGAATTGAGGAGGGGGATGAGTGTGTGCAAGAGGGTGTTGAGAAGAATGCACAAGAATATTTTGCTGAAAACGAAAATAGATATGAGGAGGATGTTGGTGAGTCTACGGATGTGGAGGAAATGCTCATATTGGATAACACTAATGTGGTGAATATTGAAGGACTGATTCAGGATTATAAGGATGATACCTTGCTAGATGAGAATTCAGTCAGCGACATGTACGGATTGGTGTCAAATGTAGTTGAGGGTGCTGAGGAAATAGGACTGACACCAATTGAAGTGACTGCCATAGTAATGGAAGAAAGTGGGGATCAAGAAACTGCAAGTAACACTGCCGAAGAGGAGGAATTGGTGGAAGAGACAAGGGAATTGCTAGAAAAAATTAGGGATGAAGGCAATGCTGATAATGCAATGGATTTGGAAAAGCAGTATACAGGAGAAGTTGAAGGGGGTAAGGAGGTAAGAGATCAACAATTTGATTGGAATGCGGAAGAGAGAGAGATACTAGTTGAAGATAAAATTTCGGATATTAGATTAGAAAAACCTACTGGTACCATGGACGGCGGAGTAGGCACTGTTTCTGGGCATGTCAAACCAACTGGAGATATAGGGAGTGTTTTGGAAAGCAAGAATGCTGACAATAATTTAGAGGCAGAGAAGCCAATAGGGGAAGCCAATGATGTTGGCAACGCTTTAGAGGCAGAAACGAGAAATTTGAGGCCTGTGATGAGCAGCATCGTGGAAGACAAGCAAAAGCCTGTGATAAGCAAGGAGGAAATAGTACTACAAGGAGGGAGAGCAGAGGATAATGTCAATAACTTAGATTTTCAGTTGATCAGAGAGAAGGAAACTGTGGTTTCCTCAAGTATAGATGCAAGAGAGATTGCTGATGAAAGTGGGCTTCATTTGTTTGATGAGAAGAATGTATCTGGTCAGCAATATACTTCTTATGAAACTTCTGAAGGTAAAGATAAAAAAGGATCATCAAAGTAATTTCATATCCTTTCTCTTAGGACAAATTTGTTCCCCACTCCACTAATTCTATGATTATTAACTGATAATTTCGGAGAACCTTCAGGTCATGGGGGTGATGAAGGTGCGGATTTCGCAGAGCTTCCTGTTTCACACAGGGCACATGAATCTACAGATGCTGTGATATCTTCTGGAAAGGACGTCAGCATGCATCCAAACGGGGTTAGACTTTAGAGCTTGATTAATATATACATCTTTGGACCCTTATATATATTATAGTTCATAATTTATTAGGCATAACAAATGCGGAAGTTATGTGCCTTTTCTTTCCTCTTATTATCATGGATTATTCTCCATTTCAATCATAAAATAGGGTATCTCTTGCACCATTTCGAATTCTTTATCCCTATCCTTACACCGATTTCTCCTCCTCGTACTGTTCTTTTTGAGTCTATCTGCATACTCAAGTACATTTACTTCTTTGTTGCATGACACCATTCAATTACATGATGGGTGTGACGTCTCTTTTGGTGATCTCAGATAAAAGGGTTGATTCATTTTCGTTTGAGTTGTTGATAGAAAAGATTTGTTGTGCGGATTATTGAGTTGTTGACCTCCCATTTAGAAGGAAAAACTGTTGATCACTTCTGTGATTACTTTGCTGATGATCTATGGTTGTAAATTGTTTTTATTCTATAAATTTAATGTGACTTCACTTAGCTGATGGAGTTGGTGCATCTTCAGGTACTGTACGATGAGGCGAAAATATGGAGACAGATTGATGCTATGCGAAGAATAGTAGGATACAAAGCCACACCCCATGCAACATGCATAGAGGAACTCAAGGCTCTTTACCTCTTCACTGGTGTGGAACCTCCTGCATCATTTGGTGACCATCCTGATCTTGCACAAGTCAATGATAAACTTCGCATTCTCATGTCCATAATTGGAGTTAAGCTAGACTGAATTGATCCCGTGTAGATTTGTTGTTTTATCTGTTTCAACTTTCCAGTTAGATGTTGTGTGTGTATTAGTCTCACAAAAGTCATAAACTATCTGTATTTTGTAAAAGATTTGTAAAAGAATTGGTTCTGCCGTTTGATAAAGAATCTCATGCTGTTTGCTTCTTCAATTGCCCACTAAACATGCTAAAGTTTCTAAACGGCCCTAAATTAAAATTGATAAATCGAACAAAACAGCCAAATTGGAAATTTGAGAAACTGTTTTGCTCGCTGGGTGTAGTAACTAAATTGGGTGGGTGTATTAAAACGAATTTTAGAAACCCAATCCAACCCAACAGCAATAACTGGACGGCTCGGCATTGAGTTCACAAGCCCACTGGGCTTCAATTGTTTTCTACGTAAACTTTATTGAAATATATATTAAATTAAATTAAAAATGAGAAAGTGTCGGTTGTGAGCAACACAGGTGGCCAATGGCCTTGAGGGCCTTGACCTTGGGACGGAGAAACAAGAGTCAGATTAATTAGGCCTCTTTACATTCTCTCTCATCTTCTTCTTTGCTGTCTGCAATCTCGGAGAAAACACGTTGGACCAATTCTTGGCTATTTTAGCTTTACGTACGCACAAATATATTTACATGAATGAGTGAATGAGAACTCCGCCTTCTCTGCTCTCTCTCACAATTGACTCAGCTCTCTTCAACCTATCCAGCATATCCGATCTCTCAACTCTCCCTGAACACATTCTCATCGATCTCTTCCTGGTACTCTCTCGCTCTCTCTCTCTATTTGCTAATTCAGCTAACATGAATTCCTATGCTTGTTCTTAATTTCTTTGAGGCGCCAGATGGGTTACTTTCTGTTATGGGGAACTGGGCAGGCTTGATTTGGTGCGATATTAAATTTTGAAACTTTTCATGTTAATCAATGGTGGTTGGATGTATGTTATTCAAAGTTACTTGATTGCTTTGGTTCGCTTGATTATTTGATTAGGGTTTTTTGTGCTCAGATCAGAGGAGGAAGGGTCTGATTCTATATAGGGATTTCTACCTTTTTGGATTTCTATCGTTTGAATTTGATGATTTTGTCAATGCTTATATTGGATCTGTTTGTCGTCTGGGTCCACGTGGTCACTCATGGACCTATGTGAACTGCTTGTACATTAATGATCAAGATTTCTGTAATACGCTGCAAGATATTGTAAAAGATTGTTCCCATTGATTGATCACCGATGGATAAAGTTTATTTAGCACAGTGAAAAAGACATCCCCTACCCCGGACCCCAACTTGATCAAACACTGCTCCATATCAAATCAAAAGAAAACAGAATATTATTCTTTCGTAGTCTGGTGCTGTGGTCCTTTTTTACTTCTGGCTTCTATGATGCTATATGGCTTTTGGGACATTTGTTGATGTTTGCTGCTATTCCTTCATCATTTTGCCTTTCTAAGCGTTCTATTCCTTAATCATTTTGCCTTTCTAAGCGTTCTATTTACCCCTTTTACTTTCCTCTATAATTACTTTTTTGGTATACATGAACATCTTATAGTAACACTCAATTTCATGGCAGAAAACTCTGAGAGCTGGAAAGCTAAATGAGAAAGTCTTGAAGCTCTTCAAAGCAACTGGCAAAGATGAAATTCTCTCACTAATCCAGGCACTTAATATTCGGCATACCCTCACCCCTGTCTTTCCTACCAGTAAGTTATGTTTGAGAATTTCTAGTGTTCTGCCTTTCCTGTAACCCTTGAACTGCTTTTGGCACACTTCAGTTCTGACCTTCAAGTACCTATTGCAGGATGCTCTGAAAGGTTTTGAGATTGGGTGTTGTTGTGTGAGCACATTGTATAACATTTTGAAGGCAAAGGTCCTTTAATTAAACAAGGCCACACAAGTTTTGTTGTTTCTTGTTCTCTCAACGCCTGTTTGAAGATGTCTAACACAAGCATCAACGATAATGAGGTTGACATCGTGATTGCGGCAATCAACTCCGACCTGGAGCCATTCATGAATGAATGGAGACCAGTATTCTCCCAGTTCCACCTGATTATTGTCAAAGACCCTGATATGAATGGGGAGCTCCACATTCCGGAAGGGTTTAATGTGGATGTCTTTACTAAGTCTGACATAGACCGAGTGGTGGGCTCTTCCACTTCCATTCTCTTCTCTGGTTACTCGTGCAGGTACTTTGGTTATCTAGTATCGCGGAAAAAATATATTATCTCAATTGATGATGATTGCATTCCCGCTAGGGACACAAATGGTGATTTAGTAGATGTAGTGGCACAGCATATTGCCAATCTTCAAGCTCCAGCGACACCTTTCTTTTTTAACACACTCTATGATCCTTACCGGAAAGGGGCAGATTTTGTTCGTGGTTACCCATTTAGCCTGAGGAGTGGGGTTACATGTGCGCTATCATGTGGACTGTGGCTTAATTTGGCAGACTATGATGCACCAACACAGGCCCTCAAGCCAGAGCAGAGGAATTCTCGATATGTGGATGCTGTAATGACTGTTCCAGTGAGATCCTTAATGCCTGTAAGTGGTATCAACATTGCTTTCAATCGTGAGGTGGCGGGGCCAGCTTTGTTCCCGGCTTTGAGGTTGGCAGGGGAAGGAAAGTTGAGGTGGGAGACAGTGGAAGATATATGGTCTGGAATGTGTGTTAAGGTTATATGTGATCACCTGGGACTTGGTGTAAAAAGTGGGATACCTTATGTGGGGTGAAGCTGATGGAGGAAGTGGTTCCTTTCTTTCAGTCGGTTAGGTTACCCCAAACAGCTGTTACAGCAGAAGACTGTGTTGTCGATATGGCAAAGTCGGTGAAGGAGCAGTTGGGAAAGGTAGATCCTATGTTTGCCCGTGCTGCTGATGCCATGGGGGATTGGGTGAAGCTCTGGAAGTCAGTGGGGTCCAGCTCACCTGGAGTTTAATGGTTGAATTTTGATTCAGCCTTTTCTGTTATGTTCCTTATTTGTTTTAACAGTAATTTATTTATAGTATAGATTTTTCGATGCTTCTAATGTTGGTATCCCTTATCACTATTAACTAATGATGAAATTATATGAGGGTGGAAATAATTGATACAATGTTTGGTTTTTTTCCATCAAGAAGTCGGTTTTATAATTTGGTATTCTATTTTTAAGAGTTATTTATTCGTGTTGGTAGTTTCGCTTTCGAAAGTGATTTCGATGCCTCTGAAAATGAATGGATACCCCTATGCTCGTACTGAGGAATAGATGATGCAGGTTTCCTCAAGACAAGATCAACAAATAAACATAAACTCAATTTCAGAATGTTTGATCAATTGATCATTCATGATAGAGAGCTAATTACAAAACAGAACTCATTCATGTAGGATGAGATCATGGGGAAAATGAAACACAACAGCTGGTCGGAAACATACAATACAGGAAGCATGTATTAAATGGCCTAGCTAACCAAACAGTTAAACATCAACTCCTTAAAAAGGAGCTAAGTTGCCTAAACAGAAAACATAGATCATTAGAGACATAAGTTTATATCTAATTAGTATTAATTAACTAGATTATTCATTATTCTTTCTAACTCTGCCGTGACATCCTTCATAGCAGGTCTTTCCTCTCCTCTCATCCTCAAACACTTAATTGCAAGGTCAGCAACTTCCCTTAGCTGCTCGATGATTTCTTCATTGAGGGGGACTTGATCGTCAAGAATTTCAAGCAAACGATCTGCATTCATTTGAGAAACAAAATATACTGCTAGATTTCTTTCGCGCTCTGGCCTTGCAAAAGAAATGACCTGCTTAGCCGTTAGTAGCTCCACCAAAACAACCCCAAAACTATAAACATCACTCTTTTCTGTTAGCTGGCTGCTCTGAGAGTATTCTGGATCCAAATATCCAAATGTTCCCCTCACCAACGTTGTCAACTGAGTTTCATCCACTGGGATGAGCCTCGAAGTTCCAAAGTCAGACATCTTTGCTATGTAATCCTCGTCCAACAATATGTTTGCAGTCTTGACATCTCTGTGTATGATAGGTATACAAGTTTCAGAGTGCAAGTAGGCAAGTGCCCCTGCAATTTCTGTTGCAATTTTAAGACGCATTTGCCATGAAAGTGCTGAGCAAGAATCTTGGCTCCTGTCATGGATGTGGCTGTACAGTGTCCCATTTGTGATGAACTCATAAACGAGCAGGGGCACTTCTGTCTCCAAACTACAACCTAAAAGCTTGACGACATTGCGATGGTTGACTCGAGAAAGCACAATCATCTCATTAATGAAAGTCTCGATTTGATTCTTGTCGCAGACTTTGGACTTCTTAATGGCAACCACCTTGTTATCTAGCAGAGTTCCTTTGTAAACTGTTCCAAAACTTCCTTGGCCAAGCACCATACTCTCATCATAGTTCTTGGTTGCCCTCTTGAGTTCCTCTGCAGTAAAAATTTTAATCATCTCAATGGATCCTTTATGATCAGAGAGCTGTTGTTGTAACAGAAGGCCACCGTTTTGTCTAAAGAATTTCTCTTTGAGCTTCATGAACCTTCTTCTCTTTAGTCCCCAGTAGATCCACAAACCTCCTATAAGAACCGCCAAAAGGCATAGGCAAAAACCTGAGCAGCAAGTAAATACAATGTTATTTTATATACGCGTATATATATTTATGCTTATGAATTAACAAATAACGAACATAATTAAGATTAAGAAACTTAATTACGTACCCATTGGAATAGCAAATCTTAGATATTTATCATCTTTTAGGATGCAACCTTTTCCACTTGTCAAGCCGTCTCCAATGTATCCCTTTGGACAACGGCATTCTACGCCTCCAACGTTGTTGTGGCATGTCGCTTGGCTAACGCAGAGGTTCCGAATCTCGCACTCGTTAATATCTTGGCAGCCATCAACGAGGTAAGGGTTGCCTTGAAAACCCTCCAGGCATTTGCAGCGATAGCCAGGGCCGTTGGTTGAATTGTAGCATTCGCTATGCCTTGACTGGCATGCAGTACTGCTGTCGTTGACTTGTTCACAAGACTGGTAATTCCCGACAGCCCAATCGAGCACCACAGGAAAAGACTCTCTCTTCTGCAGGTCTACAAGATCCAGAGACGAAAAGCTGTAGGCGCCCACTTCCACAACGAAAGAATAATCGCAGGGGTTGAAGTCGGAATGGTTGAACAAGTTTTCAGCCATGAGAGAATAATCTATGACGCCGTCTGCTATGGATATCTGGCAACACCCAGCTCCAGAGCAAGTCCCATTCTTCACTTCCTCTACTTGGCTGCAAAATGACAAGCATCCAGCTCTCATCCTCCCCACGGAGGAGCTGCTCAAGTTTGCATTATTCAACAAGGCATCGTAATTTATCGGGCTTTCGATGGCCCCGATTGCTTCGCACCCGATAGCGACCAACACGTTGCGCTTGCTTGAGACTGGAAATTTAGAGTTAGTTTGCATGACAACCTTGGCGTGGCGGTCGTACTCCTCGTTGTCTGCGTAGTAACAGTCTCGGGCGATGGGACCGGACACTCGCAATTCGTGATCTCTGAGTGATATGTTGGTGATGGGTATGAAGCTGTTGGGGAAGTATGCTTGTTTGTGATGGCCTCCTCCATTTTGATATGTGGTGTCATTGCAAGAAATCACAAAGGTTTCGTCGAAAGAGCATTCTAGAGATGTGCCGAAAGGGTAGGGAATGTTGGTGAGATTGCCACAGCTGCCTGAGCACCCGGGCTTCTGTTGCCCACGTGCTACGTTTGCCGCTGTCAAGCAAACCATCATCACCATCACCATCGTCATTTTCTTTTTTTTCATCTTCTTCATCTTCGAAAGTAATTAGTCAATGTAGCCCTTAATATATAGACTGATATATATATATATGACTTTATTTCAAAATGGATGTACCTATAGTGTCGAATTCAGGAATTTTCCTCCCAGGTCGGACCGTGCACATTCTCATAATATTAATTATGATATATCTTCGACATTATTTCTTGCCCCAAGTTTTTAAGTTTTGTGTGTTCAATACTAATTAAACCTACGTGTAGACCCACCCCTATCCCACTCGATTATTAATTATACCCTGGAAATTGATTTAACAGATCCGAAATAATTGTAGTTTGGTTCATCAAGAAATTCCAAAGCATTACAAAGCGATGGGGCAACCCTAGCCTAGGTAAGCTAGCTAGCTTTTGAAATCAAATGTACAATGAGTGTATCCATCCGTCGTGGTCGAGGCATAATGTACATGTATATTTTCATTAGAAATAAAATTTACAGCTGGCTGACGAAGACAATCCCAGTAAATTATGAATCAAAAGATTTGGACAGTCAAATCTAGAGAATAATCAGGACAAGAAAATGATATTGGAGATTAATTACTTGATTCAATCTTGAATATTACTACTAGAATATCATCATAATAATCAGATCAGATCAGATCAATAAATCAAATCAAGAAAGATTCAATCCTTTATGTCAACAGTTTCGTCCTTTCATATTAGAGTAGACGCGTCATTTATCAATTTATATTCCTAAAAAAGCTCATTGTGCAAGAAACAAGCATAGGCTTTAATGCCAGGAACCATTTGATCCCAAGCAATCTTTTCATGTACGTTGTTGTGAATGACATTCATAGGCCAACAAATCAATTTAATCTCTCTTTTCACCTATGTACGTGATGTCATTGTAAACAGAGAAGAAAGAATGGAGGGATAGTAGAAAATACATGGCACTCGTCTGCACCATAATAATATCCGGACGTCCATACATGAGAATTTTTCATAGATAAGGATCATCTTTCTAGTAGTCTGTGTACTAAATCATGTCTCAGATCAGCTTCAACTGTTAATTGAATGGATTAATGTAATGTGACAACTATATTAATGGGGAATGGTTAAGATTAAGAGGATGATCGATCGATCTATCTAGTGATGCGAAGGATGTTAAAGTAATCTCACCACCAGTGAACCAACACCTTAAGTATTATTATTAGATAGTCAGACTAATTTAGTGTTAGTGACAATGAATCCCATTGCTAATTAACTGTATGTCCTGTAATACTGGGTCTGTTTGACCGTTAAAAGACAGTTTTCTAACCAACCATATCAGCGCAAAATACTCTCCATGCTGCACAACAGGACCCTATACGAGTTCTCTTGCTTCTTTATATACTCTGCTTCTTACAATGTCCTCTTTCAAATTGCAATACAAGAAAAGAAAAAAGAAGCCACTAATTAATAAGACAAAGATGGCAAACCTAACTCTTTTTACCAGCCTCTTGAAATTTGGCCATGCTGC